TTTGGTCAAATTGTGTAGTTTGGGTTCTCAGTTGCCCAATACATACAGATCAGAAGAAAGTACCATTAAGTGAAGGTCCTGGCAACAATTTCTAGACATTGTATCTGCCAATTAGTTTTAAGAAATCTGAGGCAGTCGTGCCAGATCGATCGATTCTGGCAGACGTCCATATTTGCAACCGAATCGGATTTTAATACACATCTGGCAAAACATCACTGGAATTATATTTGGAACCCCTTACAATATTTTTAAAGGCTCATTGTTAAGGCCTCAACCGCATACGGTAAAAATATGCCTCACTGAAATACCGGGTAAATACCACATCAGTCTCTTATAAACAACATATTGCAGATTCAAGGCGGTTTGGTTCTTTATAAAGAATTTTTTCGTTTAGATCTTTTTTTATGGAAGATCCAGATGATCTTCAAAAAGATCCAGATAATATAAAAAAATAAATAAATAAATAAAAAGCTGTGTAAAATGTAACGGCATATATACCCCACCTTGAAAAGGAGGGAGGGTAACTTTTTCATTCCGTTTGCAACATCCCCAAATTTTCGTCGCAGTCCCCATAAAATATATATATTCATAATCAGCATAAAATTCTAAGTCGATTTTAAATTCTAAGTATTAAAAATGTGGTACATCGGTTCTCGTTTTGGAATAGCCGTCATATAACGGTACCGCCTGTTATTATTATTATTATTAACATTATTATTAATATTATTATTATTGTTATTATCATTATTATTATTATTATTATTATTATTATTATTATTATTATTATTATTATTATTATTATTATTATTATTATTATTATTATTATTATTATTATTATTATTATTATTATTATTATTATTGTTATTATTATTATTATTATTATTATTATTATTATTATTATTATTATTATTATTATTATTATTATTATTATTATTATTATTATTATTATTATTATTATTATTATTATTTTTATTATTATTATTATTATTATTATTATTATTATTATTATTATTATTATTATTATTATTATTATTATTTTTATTATTATTAATATTATTATTATTATTATTAATATTATTATTATTAGTATTATTGTTATAATTATTATTATTTTTTTTATTTCTTTTGTTTTTGATGAATTTTCCAAATTTTTTACGGATTTGACTAAAAAGTGATATTTACACTTCATAATGGGTTCTAGCTCCGTTGGCGAAACATTGCATGCATAGGTCCACGTTTTTGTATAACCCCCATATAACGGTACATCCCGATATTAAGTATTTTGATGATTTGTGCCACATTTTCCACGGATCTGTCTAAAAATTGGTATTTGTAGTTCATTATGGGTTCCAAGCTCCGGTGGCGAAACATTGTATGCACAGGTCCTCGTTTTTGTATAGCCCCCATATAACGGTACATTTCAATAGTCGGTGTTGGTTTGATGATTTTTGCCACATTTTTCCATTGATTTGTCTAAAAATTGGTACTTGTAGTTCATAATGGGGTCTAACTCCGACGGCAGAACATTGAAATTTTAGGTCTACGTTTTCTGTAGCGCACATACAACCATTCCAACATATACTAGGTATTTTCATAATCCTAGTCACATTTATCAAATTTGGTATTTGAGAAACTTTGGTAGATGGCAATCCTTTAAGTAAAAAATTGTCTACAGAGGTTCCCGTCCTGGTATGACCCCCATGCAAAGGCCTCATCCACTTTATGGTTTTTTGAAAAATTTAACAGCATTATCCAAACGCTCTTACTGGTATTTGTAGTTTAAAGTGGAACACGTTTGAATTCAGATACTGTTATATTAAAATGTCTTCTTTTTCCAAAGGTGGAGGGTATTAAAGTTCGGCCCGACCGAACTTAATGCTTTTTTACTTATTTTTTTTTTTTTATTTATTTATTATACAGAAATAAGTTCTATATATGGACAATTTAAGATAAATCTGAGCCTCTCAATCCAATGCATGTTTCAATATTTTTTGAGACTTAAATGAACCCTATTCCCGTTTTTTATTTCTTTGAATTTAGGTTTTTCGATCACTTTGTCTGAGAAAATTATATAAAATTAGAGCTGAATTACTAGATATAGTTGTTAGATACAATTCTTGGAATGATATACTTAATAGTGTAGCAATTGCATTTTTTATAATTTTTTGTCATATTTGTCCAAACGAGATTTGAGTAAAGTACCCAAAAAAATGTTTTTTTTTTTGTTGATATTTCGTCAGCACCGGATTTGTTTCTTTAACAAATTATTATTATATCAAGGAATTTCGATCAATATTTCAAAGTCTGAGCCCTTCAGGAACCCCAAATTTGGTATTTGTCGATTATCTGCCCCAACTTTTTTTATTACACAAAAGTCATTTTCTTTTTGCATATGTTCTCTATGTTGGAAATATATTATATAAATTTTAGAACACTCGTATCCTCATTTTTTCAAATTCTGCAATTTTATTCTTACCTACTTAAAAAGGTGAATGAATCTTGCATCGCGTTGCATATTTTAGGTGCTTTCAACACATCTTTGATATTTTATTAACAACAAAAACTTTATTATTACATTTACATTGAAAATGTTAATAAATAAATTAAAATTTAACATAAAAGAACAACGCAAGTAAATTCTGAAGGTTGTAAATAATTAAAAAGAAACAAGTGCTGCAAGGATGTTTTAATATAAACAAAAGGGAAAAGAATGTTTGGTGTAAACCATCGGGAAAAAGAAAGAGCACGAGAGAGCGAGAGCAATAACCGCATTTGGCATGGCTTTAATTAAACATCAGTAGACCGTTAAATAGAAAATAATTGAAACAAAGAAACATATTTATGTTGTTCGGTAATTTATTGCAGCATTTGTTTATGAACATTTATCACAACTAAACAACACAAATAAATATTGGAAATTTTTTGGGAACTCTTTTTTCACTGGTGTAGAATAAGCAATTTAAGAGATATATACCTCCATAATCATTTTTTAATGGCAAAGAATTTTTTTAATTATAGACGATGACTAGTTCGGGAGAACTTTGTTTATTGGTTCTTAGTTTTTTGTGTGTCATATATTTTTAAAAAATCTTTTGCCATGTTTTGTCTATATTTTCCAGAAATTATGTATGACAATTATTTCGATTGCAAAATGTTGTCTATAAAGGTCCAAGGCTGTGGCATTTCGGCCAGATTGGCTTTAAATATTTAAATAATTTAATCAAATTCGACCTAAGATATTCGAATATATTTACTGACGATTTTTAGATAATCTCTTCTTTGTCAATTCCAAGAATATATATACGAAATGTATATACGAAAATTTAAATGCTAAATTAAGGTCTCAAAGGCTTTCAGCAGATGTATCTTCTCAATATTAAACTTTTGATATGGCTCATCTAGTTATACTCTCAGCCACATGGCTAGAGATGAGTATCATTTGATACGGTCAAAACGTATCTAGTCGAAACAACGAGTTTAGACCCTAAGTCCCTTTGGACCAAATCCGTTTCAGGACATTTGGAGTTGATTTTGCGATGTTCGTCCGTCGAACTGTTTGACTGTCTGGTGCGCACGATAACTTTCGAAGGGAGTATCCGATTTGGTCCAAACTTGATACATCGTAATATTTTGCCAAACTTAGATCGAGTTCGGAGATGGGCAATATTGGTCCACTCCTTCTCCCTCCTCACCCACAAAATGTTGTAATTTTCAAAGAAAATATTTAATAGAACAGAAAGACAAAGGATGATACGATTTTGCTCCAACTTTGCAAATCCTAATATTTCCATCAGTTCGGGTGCGAAAATGGACAATTTCGGTCCACTCTTTCCGATACCTGCCCCACAAAGGGTCAACATTTTGAATAATTATTACTCTTATAAAATGAGATGTAAAAGCCCGATTGTCTTCAAATTTCACACATCCCTATATGTTTATGAACCCAAGGTCTGATGTTAAAATTACATATATCCCTCCCCTCCTTCTGGTACCTCCCCCACGAAAGGTCGAAATTTTCAAAAAAAAAAAAATATTTTTTTTTTCTGCACAGAAAGAGAAAGGATAACCCGATTATGCTCCAACTTTGCAAATCCTAATATTTTCATTAGGGCTAGGTCCGGTGCAAAAAAGGACAATATCGGTCCACTCCTTCTGGTATCTCCCTCACAATGGTTCAAAATTTTGAATAATTATAACTCTCATAAAATGTGATGTAAAGCCCGAGTGTCTTCAAATTTCACACATGGTAGAGATCGGACCATTTCTTCTAGTACCTCCCCCCACATAGAGTTCAAGATTTTTAAAAAACAATACGCTGAAAAAAGCCAAACCAGCATCCAACTCTCTTCAAATTTTACACAAAAATATTTTTGCTAACTAAAGGTCTGTTGTGAACATAATATATGTGTGCGAACCCCTTCTGGTTCACAATTTTCAATACTTAAATCTGTCATAACTTGCGAAGCAAGTCAGCTATTCTTAACAATTTGCTATATCTAAATATTTCTCTCAACCAGAAAACTGTTATGAATATGGAATTTATGATTTCGCATAAAATTGGATAGAAATGTTCGATTTTCTTATAATTTTTCCAATACCAATATTTTTATCTGTATGTAATGAAGTACGAAAATAGAGCACTTCGGTCGACTATATCTGGAACCTCACGCACATTTTCTAAAAATTATCATATATCTCATATAAAGTGAAGGAAATAACCAATATGGTCCAAACCTGGCACGTCGCAATATTTATATCATATTTATTTAAGTTCCATACGAAGTGGACAGTAATAACCCACTCTTTCAAAACCCACTCCATAGGGGTCAAGAGATGGAATAATCTTAACAGAACTCAACATATTTTTAAATAATCGAACATTGGCTGAGCGTATACATCTGTCGGCAAAACCGACCGATACTTGTTATATGTTTTATTTACTTTTAAGCCTGCTGAATATAAACAGATTTTTTTATTTTAGGAAAAGCGTGGAAACTTACCTTAACTTGATAGGAATTCAAACGGGTTTTCGGCAACAGATTGAAAGATGAAAAATCCAAGCGACGTGAAAAGATTCCATTGCAACCAGATGTAGAACTGCAATATAAAAAATATAAGATAACAATTAGTCAAATTAAAAATATATATAACAAAAATAATTTAAAAATAATAACAATACATTGACCACATTTTGCGGCTTAGCTTATTGTCTGAAATATTATTATAAACATTTAATAATTCTAAAATAAATCCCCCTATGGAAAAGTATTGGAAAATTACAAATCAATTCAATGATGATGATCTACCAAAAAACCGCAGCAATAAATATTTCCATATTTATAAACCAAAAAACAAACGAAAAGAAGAACCCCAACGAAAAACACAAAAACCCAAAATAATTCCCAAATTTTATAACGAGTTCGAAAATAAACACAACAATAGATAAGAAAGCTTTGAAATTGAAAATTAAAAATACAAAAAAAAAAAAAAATGCAAAACAAATAGAAAACGAAAAGGCACAACAGAAAACCACAAAAAAAAACTAACTCTTCACAATGTGTTTTCTGTTGACGTTGGTGTGTGGTGGTAATATGAGCGAATTTAACCTTGACATTGAATTATTATAAGTTTGAGTGAATGTGTGTGTCTGACTTCTAACTGACTGACTGTGCGCGCTTTTTATACATATATTTTTTTATAATTCGGTTAATTCATTCCACAGCACATTAGCAATCAGCACAGGCAGCAGCAGCAACACCATCACCAGCAGCTAGCTAGCTAAATGACGCTATGTCGTTGTCAGCTATCAAACAGCAAACAACTAAACAGCTGGTGGGGCCTGACGCCGCCGGCCAGTAATAGAAATAAAATATATATATATATACTATAACAACAATAAAACGTTAGCAGCCATCAGTTTAGGAAATTTTAGGGAGATGGTATGATGATGAGGAGAAAGTATAGATTAGGTAAGGGGTACTCTTCAGAATATCGAAACAAAAACAAAGCCAAATGAGCAAATAGAAATATCAATGCATTCCCCACTAACTGAGGAAGGAGGGATATGCAACTAGTTCAGACGATGAAAAAACTATTCAGGCTTCTTATAGACGGAAGATATCTTCCATTGCAGGCGGAATGTATTCTTTGGGAAGACCTTTTAAAGAGATTCAATACACTTTTTTTGGAGGAGTTTTTACGAAAAAAAAGGCGATGACGGTCTTCTGTAACAAGGGATCGGGATTCTAGGGAGAGTCTATAGCAAGTATATTCTATAGAAATCGAGTAGAGCTCAGATTTTCTCGTTTTTACTCTGGAGTGAAACATATTCGAGAGCGAGAGTGCTCAAAGAGTATGACATTCACAAAAGTTTACTCCGCACTCTTGTGGTTTTTATGTGGGTGTTTTACTCCTTAATACGAGTGTGAGTCAACATGTTTGAAAGAGAACAACAGTCTACTCTAAGAAAAAAAATTGATTGCAGGTTAGTAAGAAACAGGTTTTGATGTGTATATAGGGGTTGTTTGAGTCGTTAAAATCATCACAATACCGAATATCGGAAGGTACCGTTATATGGGGGATATACGAAGACGTGGACCTGCACAGACAATTTTTTGCATTAGGCTGTATTATTCATTACGAACTTCAAACACCAAATTTAAAACAATTACGGCGAAAAATGTCGCTAAAATCATCAAAATACCGAATAATGGGGGGTTACCGTTATATGGGGGCTATACGAAGACGTGAACCTGCACAGACAATATTCTGTCATAGGCTGTAGTACCCATTAAAAAGTTCAAATACCAAATTTGAAACAATTTCGGTGAATAAAGTCGGTTCGCTGTTACGAACTTCAAATACCAAATTTAAAACAATTCCGGTGAATAATGTCGCTAAAATCATCAAAATACCGAATATCGGGAGGTACCGTTATATGGGGGCTATACGAAGTCGTAGACCCATTAGGAACTTCAAATACCAAATTTGAAACATTTCCTGTTAAATCACCGAAATACCAAAAAAAAGGAGGTACCATTATATGGGGACCTACATCACCCATTTTCAATACCAAAAGTCCTGCAGACATAATTCACATTTGAGTAAAATTCTATCAACCTACTTTATTTCGTTCGGAAGCTAGAGTGATTTCCACAGACGTATAGCCTAACGGACATCGCCAAATCGACATAGAATTTTATGCTGATCAAGAATATATATGCTTTGTGGGGTCTCAAATGTATATTTCAAAGTGTTAAAACGGAATGACAAACTTAATATACCCTCCATATTATGGTGATAACCTTAGGACATCTTAAAATGGGTTTTACATTTTAAGAGTCTTTGGTAGAAAGGAACAATTTTGAAGTTTCTTGAAGGGCTTCTGCAGAAAGATTGCCTTTGGATGCCTTCTATAAACAAGAAAACCGCTAAAAAATGTTATCTTAATATAATTGCCTTGCTAGGTTCTCCCTCTCTCAAAAAAAAGAGGACTAAAAGGTATTCTCCCTCCCTCTTTATTTCTCTCACTATCTATGGAAAGACTTTTACATATTTTCTACATGTACTACAACAATTTGCCGACGTTATAAAGTGATAAACGACTATCGTCGTGCCTTACAGGACATTTCTGTCGGTCCAATATATGTACCAATGGATTGCTATTTAATAGTATTATTGGTAAAAATTGAAAGATTCAGTGCTTTTCTTAAACTTTCCATTGGTACCCATATTGGACAGGCATCAACGAAGACACAGTGACCTATTGAATTATCTCGGTACGAGTTTCCGTATCCTTTGTTAATGCCAATTGATAATAATAATCATTATATTGTTATGTGCTAGGTAAAATATGCAACTTGTGTCTTTGCTACTCAAATTTGCCAACAACTTGACATCAATGTCGAGGCTACAAAATTCCCCAACTTTTTGGACCTACCCTCGGTGAATACGGCAAACAAAATAGCTCTACATTTTGTTTTTTTGGGCAAATATTTAAATACCCAATAACAATAAAGAAAAGAGTAATAGTGAGGTAATTATAAATGGGCAAAAATGCGGGAGGGGCGGGGGTGAGTTTGAAGATCATACACGCGCTTTGAAAAATGTTTTTTTTTTTTTTTTCAGACAGTTGATAGAGTCATTCATTGTTACTTCGATGGGCACCGCAAGGCGGGAAACAAACATTGAGCAGTCATCATCAACAGAATGGAAGAATATATTTAATTTTTTTGCTGGTGTTAAGAATTAGGGAATGCACGAAGAATGTCGTCGTTGTGTGTCTTCTGCATTCTTAAATAGCTAAAAAAAAATCAAAAGAAAAAAAAACAACAAAATTGAGAATAAAAATCCAGTCAAATTGTAAATTCGCGTGTATCGTTTAATGTCAGAACGTGAAGTGCTTTGCTTAGCTGTGTAATAAAAATTGAAATGATATTTGATTTAAAGAGGAATGATTTTTTGGGTTCAAATGTCGAATGTTAGAAATATAAGGAGATCAGCTTCGGTCTCTAGTCAAAAATGATTAATAATTAAAATATTGACGGAGCATTACATATAGCTTTTAGTGGTTTAGTTAGCAGTGATTAGTAGGGAGTGGGTTCTGTTGAGGCAATATCAAACTCTAGCTGTAAGCTTGGTGATGAAACAAAAATCAGATACAATTGAAAACATTAAACCGAATATTGAAAGACAGAAATGGTTTTTGGAAGTGAGATAATTAAGTATTTTATTATTATATACGTAGTATGGAGGGTAAATTGGGTTTGCCATTCCGTTTATAACACATCGAAATATACATTTTAGACCCCACAAAGTGTATATATTCTTGATCAGCATAAAATTCTATGTCGATTTAGCGATGTCCGTTCGTCTGTCCCTCTATCCATCTGTGGAAATCACTGTAGCTTCCGAACGAAATGAAGTAGGTTGATAAAATTTTACTCAAATGTGTATTATGTGTGCAGGACTTTTGATATTGAAAATGTTGATGTTGGCCCACGTTTTGGTATAGTCCCCCATATAGCCGTACCTCCCGATATTCGGTACATTGATGATTTTAGCGACATTATTCTTCGGAATTGTTTCAAAATTGGTATTTGAAGTTCGTAATGGATAGATACCACAGCCTATGACAGGAAATTGTATGTGCAGGTCCATGTCTTCGTACACCCCCATATAACCGTACCTCCCGATATTCGGTACTTTGATGATTTTAGCGACATTATTCTCCGGAATTATTTCAAAATTGGTATTTGAAGTTCGTAATGGATACGACAGCCTATGAAGGAAAATTGTCTGTGCTGGTACACGTCTTCGTATAGCCCCCATGTAATGGTACCCACCGATATTCGGTATTTTGATGATTTTAGTGACATTATTTACCGGAATTGTTTCAAATTTGATGTTTGAAGTTCGTAATGGGTACTACAGCCTATGACAGAAAATTATTTGTGCAGGTCCACGTCTTCGCATAGCCCCCATATAACGCTACCTCCCTATTTTCATTATTTTAGCTACATTATTCAACGATTTTTTTTTTTTTTTTTTTTTTTTTTTTTTTTTTTTTTTTTTTGTAAATTTGGCATTTGAATATTGTAATGGCTTATGACAAAAGTTGCCTATGCAGATCCACGTCGTCATATAGACCTTAATATAACACCTACATTCGGTATTTTTAGGATTTTAACAGCATTTTTAAGGGATTTTATTTTTTTGAAAATTGCCAAATTCGTTCCAAATGGTGGAGGGTATTCAAAGATCGCCCCGGATGAACTTACAGCGTTTTTACTTGTTTTTGTGCACATTTTGTTGACAAAAATATTTATTGTGTGGAAATATTTCTCAATCTATGAAAAAAATTAAAACAAATATAAAAAGGCTTCTCCCCTACAAATGTTAGCAAGGGCTTTTTATATAAAAGTTCTAAAATTTGTTTTATATACTTTCCAAAAACTATTTGGCAAATTGTTCTTATCGAAGCCCTCCACCCCTGTCGAATATGTACTTGTGTATATTTGTAAGTTCTCGCAATATTATGAAACACTTGCACGCTTTTATCGCCTTTCTGGGGGAGTTGTGTTTAATCCACCATAAAA